TTCCAGATTTGTGGTCATTATTAAGAGAATTAAACATACTATTAACTCAATAGCCAACAATAGGTTTCTAAAGCTGAAGTACAAAAGCTCAAGTCAACTAAAACAAAGTCTATTTATAAGACTCCCAGGGGCTAAGTTAACAACTAGTTTCAGTACATTTACCCAGGCTGTTCTTTGAAACTGGGCTGTGAAATCGTTCTCATCAATAGGTGCCCTTAAACAGTACTACCCAACAGTTAGGAACCTTTTGTCTAAAATGAAAGCAAGCTCAGACATTATTTGTGAGATATTCTTTAGTTCATAAAAGAAACTCTCAAAAAGTTTAGTTTACCTTATTTTACAATAAATTTAGTTTAAGGTTAAGTTGGACTCTTACACTTGAAGGTCAAAGTTACTGAGTTTTTAGCTAAACTAATTATGTCATCTGTACATGATTAAAATGATAGACATCTGTTTAGGTTTTGTTTTTGTATTATAAAAAGAATGCTATGGATGACAGGTTTTACTAATAGATACCAATACATGTTATTCAAAATTATTTTTTAAGTAATTAAATCTATTTATATTACTCTTATTGATATAAGGTAATATTCTGCCCTTTCCTAAAGTATTCTCTGTGTATATTTCCATGTTGCTAATTCTTGTGATTATTTTTTAAATTTACTAGGGAATTTTGCAAATGTGTTTTGATTAAAGAATACCATATAATAAATAATTCATATTCCTGCCCAGATCTACCTTTCTATTTGTAGAATGCTTACAATCAGGAAAAAAATGTTTTTGGTTTTCCCATAGTGGTCCTTATTTGTAAAGATACTGGGAGACTTCCAATCAATTTTAAGCATCCAAACAGAATGTGAGTGCATTTGTGTGTATATCTGGGCAAAGTTGGTGTGCATAATAACCTAGCAAAGAAAACATTTTCACAGCTGAGGTATTAAAGAACAGCCTATCAAATGTGCTGAAACTACTGTAGCTCTTACACTTAGCCCCTGGGAGTCTGATAAATAGATTTTGTTTTAGTTGGCTTACTACATATCATTTTGTACCACCCAAGAATAGAATTCCCCACACTTGATCCAAATCAACTACAGCAGGGTGAAATAGTTTTTTTTTTTTCATACTTGGGCAAAGAAGATTACAAGGGGACTTGTGAGCAGCCTGAAGAAGGCCCCACGGCCGAAACGTTGTGTTTTCGTTTCTCTCTTTCTTCTCTTTTCAGCATGGAATAAACCTATTACTTGTTCCTACAAGTATATAACATATATACTGTATATATACAGTATTTGTGTGTTTCTTTAAATGTATGTTAGTGGTAGGCATATGTGTGTATCAGGATTAAATACTCATACTGTTTGCAGTTCAAAACTTCACAAAGCTGCTTTACGATTGCTGCTCAGGAGAACAGTGATAGATTTGAATACACATACACTGACACCCACTCTCACACATACCCAAGTCCTTCAAGCATGACAAAGTAATTTTAAAACCTGACAATTAGGAGAAAGAAGACCCCACACACCCTTGGAATTTTACATCTTGTGCCAAATGACACCTATTCAGAAATAAAAAAACAGGTTTCTATAAGAACTGCTAAAATCCTTTAAGGAATGCAGTGGCTAACCATTAGAAAGGAAAGCAGTTTTGAGATTTTGTCTTTGTGCAGCACAGTTTCACATCTCAAAACTGCCCTGACACCTTAAAGGAATAACAATAAACCCATTGCTTTCATCTCTGTGTTTATTTTCCTGTCTCCGATTATTAGTTCCATTTGAGTTTTAGCTGGATGACAGCCACACCTTTTGTGAGAAGTGTTGCACATATGAATAAACATAAAACAATATTTCGTAGTGTTGATATAAAAAAGGTTTGACACAGCACACTAAAACAAAAAAAAACAATCCTATCAAACAGCACTGTGTCATACTGTATTATTCGTTTTTTTTTTAAAGCTGTTTTCACTGAGGCCTCACATTAGATATTATCACCACCTTCCCAACAAAGGGTGTCTTCTTCAACAAACCTGTTTCATTGCTTTAAGAAGAAAATGGCTGCAGCTCGAAGCTTAACATCAAGCAATAGTCTCTGATAAAGGGGATAGCACCCACCCCCAACCAACTGCTCAGAACTACAAACCTCTCCAATGTGTATATATAAGCAACTTTAAAATGCATGCTAATGACCCATTGCTTTGTCACTGAGCTTTGCATACTTATATAGAGGTATGCAATTGTAGTGGCACTAATATTCCTTTTGAAAAAGATATGCAAAGTCAACTTAATAAATAAAATAAAACCCATTATTATTTGACATATACTGTATATTGCATATATATGTCACATACTTGTATATGTGCACCATGGTTCTTTATTTCATATACTGTATATGCAAAAATATTTGAGCAATATTGAAACTAACGTGTTAAACAAGCTAATTTGTTAAATTAAAACCAACGTTGGTGTTTTTCATCTTGGTAATCTTTCTTGTGTATAAGAGTGACATTCAATTCAATTAAGATCTTGACGAGCGGCAAGCCTGCAGAATTTAAAGCAAATGTCTCCTCGGATCTCAAATACAGATGCGAGTGGAATTAACTTTTGAACTGTACATACACTGTAGTTTATAGAGAAGAACGCGAGGTCGCAAATTGCAAACTGTTCTTTTTTTCCTCCGCTAGATGTCACTCCTATGAAAACAGCAGATGGTAAGTGTCAGAAGAAATGGTGGGCACTGGAAATCTTATTATTAATATTTATTATCGATATATTTTGAGTACTTTTTAAAATTGATTTGATATTGATATGTGAAATCTCATGTCAACAGCTCTGGGTCAACAGACATAAACATGATTTTTATTACTGCCGTATCTGTATTTCCATCCAGTGGAGGATCAGGGTGAACCCTTAGAAATGTTTAATATTCTCTTTCACTCTCACCCCTTTTATGAGTATCCAATTCAAAAGAGCGCCTGTGTAGAGATATTAACATACTGATGCCAGACCGTGAAATGTGATTATTTAAAGCCACAATTATACCATGTTGACAGTAACTAAACTTGAATTACACTCATTCAATTATCAGGTCAACAGTGATGTATAAACAAGCTATTCAGAATTTCTAATCATGCTTTACTGGGAAAAAAAAGAAACAAGTTGTGGGAAAGTATAGTAGTCTAGCTGGTTATTAAAAGTAAGAGAAAAATATATGCATAAAAGTGTTATTTTTATTGTGTTTATCCTGTGTGGTTATTGCCTTTGGATGACATTATATATCAGTTAGGATTCTTTAGGGAGAAATTTCTAAGTCTTTACTTACACTAAAAATATTATTTCTGTCTAACAAATCGTAATTTATTTCTTATTGTTATCCCCAAAACATGCAATCAAAAAACATTTTACAGAAACTGACCTAGGTCTGGTCCCTTCAGTGGCACAGTGTGGGGGATGGGCATTTAAAAAAAAGTATTTTTACCCCAAGTTTTACAAAGTTTTTTCGGAGCTGTCGGACGCAATGTGATGACGTCGAACTGTAAACTCTCCTAACCTTTCAACTTTTCAACATGGCCGCTGTTACAACCAGTTTCTCTGGAAAAAATGTTCATTTTATCCAAATATTAAATTATTGTTATACTCCAGGCCACCATACGCCTCTACAACGACTTGTTGCCCTCGTGGCTTTGACACTGTCGATCTGGACATACCTCCGTTTTGTGCGTTTTGCAAATTTCGGCGAGAAGGTGGGAGTTGTGTGGTCCAGCCTTGGGCTTTGGGTACCACAGAGCCTTCCTAGCAAAATAGCAGCAGCATCCTACTCCCGCGAGCATCCTTCCGCCCCAGAAGTACTCTCTCAGATTCCCTCCATACGAATACTGTAAGGCGTCTTCTGTAAGTATCACGCATTCTTGATTTCATACTTGATCTTTCTAGTCACAAAAACTAAAATATAGTATCAGATGCGATTAGAAAATAATAAATGCCTAGACAATATTCTGCATCTTTTTTTTTTCAGTTTCCACTGGTAAAAATTCACGATGTTAATGTTTCTCCACAATGAACAAAATAGGCGTTCGTTTGCAAGTCGACAGCTGTCTCTGGTGTGTGATTTATAGATCAGTTAAATTGTAGGGAGACATTTTACACTACTTCCATTTGGACAGTAGCTATGTTGTGACATTTCATTAAGTGGTGTATTTTACGTGTGTAATTTGTGGTGACAGAATGACTCTCGTGCTGAAATATTCCTTTGTATAAGCCCTGCAGGTCATTTTTTGTATGCAAGAGCTTTGAAATGCATCCCATCAATGAAGTGGGCGAGACATTTTTGTAGGCACATATGTGAAGTTTATGACCTGGTAAACACGTGTTCTCTCTATCTCTTGACAAGATCAGGTTATAAGTTAGCAGCACTGCCTTCACATTGTTCTCTACAGCAGGTCACGACGCCTTGAGTTATAATGGCCAGTTTGTCTTATATACAGTACAACACGGTTCTAATACATTGAAATGCATATTCTGCAGCAGTTTTTATAAGAGGGAAAGCCAAAAGATTAATCGAATTAAACAACTGGTCAATAGCTGCGCACAACCTTTCAGATCCATTTTTATTTACCGGTAGAATAAATTATTTCGTGGCCCCGTTTTAATACCCTTGTTAAAATGTATGCATATTTTTATGCCATCAAGATTTTAAGGCCATGTATAGCGTCTTTAATTTGAGTGTATCTATAAAATCTCCCCAGTTTTGACATAACACTAGCTTTGAAACGCATTAAATGCAATGTGTCAACTCTTTAGCTGGCTCTAGACTTATTCTCATCTATGTTATTGAATCAATTTATGTATTGTTGAAGTGGAATCGAAGTCCTCATTTGTGGTGCGAGGATTGCTTATCTCGGCTTCAAGTTTGCTGCTTAATCACGTCACGAGCTTGACAGCTTCACACCAAATCAGATTGCTAGATGTAAGGGGAGTCCTGAGGCGTCACTGTTAGTTGATGTAGATTACAACTCACCTCCCTCAGACAGCTCAGTTCTCTTTAAAGGTCTAGGGAGCTCTGAGGAATACCCTTTGTATCCCTTCCTGCATAATGGTAAGCCTCGATTTAAGTTCTCGAAGGTCTTGATAGGGTTTGCAGAAAGTGATATGCAGTATTTAATAGAGATGTTGGTGCATTTTCCCCGAATCCTAAAGTGATTAATTCTCCTCTGCAACGGTTTTACTTACACCTGTTCTTTGTGTGTGCGCTGCTGTGTACTGTGTATTAAGATGATTGCAAGGCGCTGGTTGTTTTATTTTGACTGAGCTTTGCTGTTCTCGAACCTGGGGCATCTGTTGGTGTTTTGCAAAACATATTTTGGGGCGTCCGGTATGTGTCTGTCAAGACAGTTGGTGCAGGTTTAATCACGCCGTGTGACTCCTGACTATGACTATGACTGGAGTTTTTCATCTGCGAGTGGGAAAAGCAACAGGCAAACTCAAAGCACATGATACTCTTCAGTTCTTATTGCTGAAAAAAACGCTAAGGTCATGTGTGTCCATGAATATCGTTTAGTTATTTATACGTCTTAACGAATAACATGATAATGTTGTATGCATTTGCGTTTGGTCTTTGCTCACTGGTCAAATGTGAGCTTGCAGTTCAAAGCAATTACTGTCATTACTTGGCGAGTAGCACTTGAGAGCAGTGATTGAAACTGGATCTTTGAAACCGTATTTTTAGCACGGGTATGGCCGTGTTTGGTTTAATTCATATTTCTTAAACTGGAATATATTTTAACAGCAAATGGAGTTAATTAAGGCATGACTTTTTATATGTGGTGTGAAACATCAATATGTTGTTAATACTAATGTTTTAGTTTTTAATGCCGTGCTTTGCTTACAGGTAGGTTTGTCACATATAGTGCGAACTGAGAAAGAGCGCTGTTATGTATCTGTAGCTGGTAATGGTAAAATGCGCAAATAGACACGAGTTCTTATGAGCTTACAAGACGCGAAGAGTTCCTTTCGTGTTTGGCCATTTATTTATTTTTTCCTACAAAATAATGGTCTTAAAACAAAAACAGTTTAAGGAAACTTTAAACAATGTTCGCACTGCTAGGGAAAAGCATACTTAAGGGTTAAGTTAACTTTTTTTCTAGCTATTATGGGAGATTTAAAACCCAGGTCGACCATATATAATAATCTCCTCCTGCATACTTGCACATATCCGTGCTTGTGCGTGTACTATTACCTGTTATAAACCCCAAAGGAGTACACGCACGTCTTGAGAAATTACCAACATTTTTAAAATCGTATATCTGCACCCTTACACGGTGTATTTGTCTCCGCAATTGTCCTGATACAGCGGCATTCTTTCCAGTTAAGTTTTCAGATGCTTCTCAAAGCGTCTGGATAACGTATTTTTTTTAAAATTGGTTTACTATTAATTTCCACTCGTGCTGCTGCTCATTTTCATCTCCTGTTCAATTTGCAGAGCACTGTACTTCCCTGCCAAGACCAGTACTTTGTAGGGGGCCAGAACTATGATTGCCCCTATTCCGTCCCGACGTCAGCAGACGGTGTTGACGTTTCCAAGGAAACACTGGTCTCCGTTTGGGCCGCTGGTCTCCTGGACAACACAGCCTGCCAGCACGAGCCACAGCAGCAGGGTAAGCCTATTAAAATCAATATTAGTAGGCGACCATAGGGAAGCGCGCCATTACAACGGGCGCGCTGCGCAAACCCTACTGGAAAACAGTTTGACAAGTTGTGTTCTCAGCAGTGAAATCGATGCTCATAAGGAGAATAACAATGTTAAACCTCTTTGAGTGGCTTAGCTTGCTGCATACATTTGAACTATTGCATTGCATTCTTCATGCAGTTTAGTTATTGTAATATGTATGTTCCCTTTTCTGCAATCTGACCTTAAACCCAGGCATTGATTTATAATCATTGTAATAACTACAGACCTGTTACTTATTTTATGTACGATTTTCTTCACCTCTTTATTCCTGGTGAGAGATAGATGTCAGTTTCAGTCACTAGACCACTGTTTTCATTTGGGGTTTTCTTTTTATTTCAAAATTATTTTAGACCATAACTAAAGTGTATTGATATAGTTGCCATAAGTATGAAAATCTTACTGATGCATACTGTACAGCACGCTGACCTGTTTGCTGTTTTCTTTGCTCCAGACCAATTTTGTTACTTTGATTCTGGAACCCAGCATGACTTTACTTGGAACGACCACTTATCACCACATCTGCAGAGAAATAAGCAGGTATTTATTTCTTTCAAATTCGAGGTTACCTCAGACAACCCTGAATATATGGTTTAGAATGATGTTTCAATGTAGTACAGTATATCAGAACTCTGTTGTTGCATGACTTGGAAAGATGCATATGTTAGCAGATAAATACCACTATAATTTTTATAGTTTATAATTCTCTCATCATGTGGGTGTAATTTTCACTTTTAAACAAGTCTTTAAAAATCATATTTTGATATCTCATTTAGAAATCACAAAGAGATTCTAGTTGGCATTTCCAAAGTGTAAATCTTTCTTTGGCATTTGAAGAATATAATTCAGATTGCAGTGCTGTGCACTTGAAATATTTGTTAAATCTCCAGTTTTATGTGCTGTAAGACATTTAATTCTAAGATAATGGAAACAAAGCTAATCAGCAGTGTTCTTTTTTTCTAAATCACACATTTGACTTTTGAAGTTGTCAAGCACTATAGAGTTTAGCTATGAGAAAATAAGCATAATAACCCCAAATCATTTACACTAAGAGAAAAACAGCATGACTGGAAAGAGAAATTATTAAATGTCAAAGCAATTATCCTAACTATATCACCCCTCTCTCTCTTTTTTTGGTGAAGCTTCAGGACACTTTGTTACAGAAAGAAGAAGAGCTGGCGAGGTTACACGATGAAAACAACAAACTGAGAGAATACCTGAATTCTGCCTTTGTGAAATCTTTGGAAGAAAAAACGATGGTAAATTAATTAATACATTCTGAAAAAAAAAACAACTACAATGTCATAAAAATATGTAATATAGAAATGTTTTAAATGGTTGATTGTTTTTATGTGAACTCCTAATGCCTATTTAATTTGAATGGACGTAACAGGAAGAGTTGCATAATATTAATCAATTTAAAGTTGTTGTTTTTTAAACGGAGAGCCTAGTGAAAAAAAAAGTTATTGATTTCCATTTCTCCATCAGTAACGCAGTGCGTTTATCGTTCTTGAACAGAAACTTCTGCACAGCTCTCAGGGAGGAGAAGGAAGATTGAAAAAGAGGAAGCGGAAGTCGGAAAGCGACGGAAGCTTCCGGGGCCTCACTGCCAGCCAGCTGCTCCCAGGGACGAACCGGAAGAGGACGAGAAGGAACCTGACGCTGGAGTTCTGCTCTGCTGAGGAGCTTGCCAGTACTCCTTCTGTTGACTCCTGGGTCCTCCAAACCCTGGGTCTGAAGGACATCAACACAATCGACGACTCAGCTAACTACAGTGCCAACTCAGAGGATCGCCTGCCGTCTTTAGATGGTCCGAGTGCCATTCAGACCACTAGTGCAATGGACTATGCCAGTCATATGCCCTCTGCTGCAGGATTTTGCCCGGAGCCAAGGGTAGAAATGGACTACACTGCCAACCCATGTAGCTTAGATTCAAGCAGCCTGCTACAAGCTTGCATCGGTCAACAGCAACCTTTGTCAATTAACACTGCGCCTCCTCCGTACGTGTCACCTTATGGATTGGACATTTCCAAAAATAAAACAGAAGTCGCCTTTACCATGTCCCTCAACCCCCACAGCAATGTTAAGACACACAGCTTTGAGCAGGGCCAAGCATTCATACGCAGGGACGAGCAAGGTGGCTGGAAGTTTACATGGGTCCCCCGACAATCTGATTAGCTTCAACTACCACTGCCGTTTGCAGAAGAAACCTGTATTGTTTACAAACTTAATAATGCACTTGAATAAGCTCAGATAATACTTGAGCTATTCATTAAAGTAGAGCAATTGTTTTGTCAGTGTGTGCGTGTGGGGGGTTTACTTTTATTTATTTTTATAAAATATTTATAGTTACAGACCCTAAGCTGATTAATTTTGATACAGTTCGTAATAATGTAGCATAATGCACAAAGTAATAATAATGTAGTGCAATTAAAGTGCACTTAAACATGATTAAAGCAGGAGCTAAATAAACTACCTCATAAAGTGCACATAGTTTGAAATGTGCTCATTAACAACGGCGTTAAAAAATAGGTTTTGATATGAAACTTCCTGCACATTTCAAAACAGTTTGATGTCCGTAAGAAGAATCAGAAAGTCTAAATTGTTATACTTAATTTCTGATCTTGCTATTTGCATCTGTAATACGCAAATTTTACACCTTAAGTAATTGTCTCAACTGTACTGTAACACAGTATGATGCACTATAGTTACCTCTCTATCCTTAGAGACTTATTAATTTCCATTGAGATTTTGAAGAAATTTTGCTAGATCACTGCCACAATATCACATGCAAATGTATGTGTGTTACTCTTCTCTAGACCTTTAGCAACCTTTATGTGGAATCCCCCACACCTATAATTCACTAGCAGAACAATGACAGAATGTTAAGTTGTTTCTCCAGTTGGGAACCTGCACGACAGTTTTTGAAAGTAAGGGATCATCATTTTGTACATTAAAGATACAAAAAAACAGGTACAAATACATCATAATAGTACTTTCTCACATAGGAGTTTCTGTATTTAAGGTAAAAAAGTATTTTTTAAGTAAAATCCATTAAAAATACAAAAAGGCCTACATTCTTTACTGTAAATTAAGAAACTAAATATAAAGTAAAACATGACATACCATAAATTTATGAAGTAAATTTTCCTTTAGATTATATAGAGCAAATGTCTCATTGCCTGTTTTATGTGTAATTTACCTCATTAACAGGGAGATAATATTTTCAATTGTTTCTTTAATTTTATAGATTACGTAAATAAAGACAACCCTTAAAGCTTACATCTTATGTTTTTCTTATTGTTATTTTTTTCATTTTGTGAATGCTGCATTTTCTTTTTTTTAAATAGCATTGGAATGACACATGGAACTCCTTTTTACTTGAATAACTTAGTTTATTTGTCTCATAAAAAAAACCTTTATTGCCATAGGATTAAACTAAAGCAGTTTGTAGCTGCTTTTTAAAAATCTGCTGCTGTTGAAATGTTTGGTTTTTTTTTTCTGTCCTGAACAAATATTGTCTTTGGACACTAAAATATGTCATTAAAATGTGCTTTGTACTTTAATCACGGTAACATTTAATGTAATTTAATTGTGCATTTTGACGTTTGTGACTCTTGTAATATATTCTAACTGTAAAAAAGACTAATGGAGTATAGATTTTTAATTTTTTTATTATTTTACTATAAATAAATAAAACCGTCTAACTTAATCGTCTTCTGGTTTTTAATATGAAGTCGAGCGGGTACCTTGAGTAAGGAACGACGCAGAGTAATGGGGTTTATGAGGCAGGTAGGTACCGCTGGTATCCGTGTTCTGTTGGGAACAATAAGGGCTTTCCAGATCTGCTGGCTTAGACCGGTCAGAGTCTTTTGATCTTTTATCCTTTACTCCAACAACACAATTAAGCCTGTCCGCAGGAAAATGGCCGTGTATGGACCTATTTATTTATCTGAATTGGGAAAACGGTAATGCCCAGATAGAGTAAAACGCACTGGAGAATGCAAGTTGTCCACTCTGTTAACAAAGCCCTTCCTTAAAATAAATCAACTCCAAAAGGACTATTTGCTTCAGGTGTTTTAAGTTTTATGCTGTGTCACTAGAAAAATTAATTACCACTTTACTTGGATGAGCGAGTATTAAGAACAAGATGTTAATTTCAAGTAATTACAGTTTAGCAATATGTATTACGCTTCAATTAAATTACTCATTAACAGCGCAAGAAATGTAGGATACCATTACTCACGTCTACGATTTTAGATCATATATTTAAAAACGGGGAGAATACTGTATGTTTCCGTGATGTAACGTTTCCTCGAGCATTTCCCTTCGAAGTTACCGCAGTTTAGGGGAGATGGGGGGCACAGGTGATGGCAGAAGGGTGGCCCCACGGTTCACAAAACTCGAATTTGATTGGTCGGAGGGTTTTGCGGAAATAAAGCCGCACATTCCCAAATGAACCTTGGGTTAAAGATTTGTTCAGGTAGAGAATGATCGAATAATTGCCGCATATAGAGCTATAACAAGTATGAGGTATTCTTCTTTGCATTAATATGTTGTTAATGACGTTTTACTAGCATCTAGAAAGGATGCTGGCTAATTATTTTCTATAACGACGTTGAGAAAGCACTTTCTTAAGTTATATATTGCATTTTATGGCCGCTGTTAGACATTTGTGTAGCATTCTGGAGATAGGGAATTGTTCTCTTAGATCACTAAATTCACTTACAGTACATTTAAAAAAGTATTCCAGTCAAATAAGATGCAATTGTACAAAGCAATCGCGGCACAGTAAAAGATTTTGCACGAATGTTTTGGAGGTTCTGACGTTTTAACCGTAGTGAATGTATTAAAGTTCATTCGCTCAAGCAGGCATTTTAACTGAATATTTGATGGCAGCGCCTGTTTTTTAACATCGTTTTGTAATTTTGCCCCCCTTCTCCTGATCTCCATCAATTGCAAATACAGTAGGGCGAGCCTGAAATCCGAGAGATGGGATGTCTTTGACTCCCAGACGTCCTGGGCCGTGGTCTCTACTCCGCGTGCTTTCCCAAGAGGAAACCGTAGTTGGAACACCTTGACCAGCCCTCTCTCCAAACCAGGATGTAATAACAAGGTAAAAGTTGCCGCAAACATCAAGCAGATTGCAAAGGTGAAACATTATGAATGACTATTAAAGAAAGAGCAGGTTCGCAGAAGCACGGTTCTCTTTTGCCCACCTGGTAAAATTTATATTTAACTGTTTAAGATGACACCGCGTAAAATGTCATAATATCGTCAACACAATTAAATTTTTGCCTTGTTAAATAACACTAGAATTAAACCTTCTGCATGCCTTGATGATTTAAATTAAAGACACTGAATAAAACCTTGTTTTCACAGCTCGAGCTGCGCGTTCCGACCCCAACACGCCCACACACACTTTTTAATTTATGTGTTTGTTTTACAGCCTGTTTTTCTTGCGTTTTTCATAACCTTTTTACGGTAGCAACAGGTGGAGCAGTATTACATTAAAGTACCTGGGTAGCTTGAGAGGAATATTTATTGTCGTGGTCAGAGTGTAACAGCACATTGCAAGGAAAAGTGAAAGGATTGTAACATCGTCATTATTATCTGAAACGTTGAAAACCACAAGCACTTGATAAGGGCAAGCCCGTGGTTTAAAGACACTTGTCAGTTATTTAAAACACTTGCTACTTAAGACTTACCTTTAAGCTGACGTTAAAAGTTATGTGGAATCTATCTAATCCGAAACGGTGCTTTAGACGTTTTGCTGGAAGGTATGACATTATTCCCTCCTCTCTTGAACTATAGCCAAAAGGCTGAAAGACATTCCAGATAACATAAGACTTGGGTATTTTCAAAGATTTTATTCCAGGCAAAATCTGCTTCCTATTTCTGGAAGTAAAGGTGGAAAAAAAGCTTTAAGGTTAAAACCCCTAGCACAGGCTTTTGCATATAGTGGAGCTAAAAAGGCTCTTTAAAAATCAAGTCAAAGTTATCTTATTATTAGCAAAATAGTGCTAAATAAAAATTAATAATGAGCCACCAGAGACTCATTAATTTAGCTGTCAGAAGGAAACCTAGGGGAAAGAGTTAGTGACATGAGAAATCTTTTCATTTTTTGTGTGTTTAAGGATAATTTTTAAATTGGTAAATAGTTTATGTTCACGCTTGAAATAATCTAATTGCTCAATACAAGAAGAATTTAAAAAAAAACTTTTTTTTTACTACACTACTTATGGTCTACAAAGTAAGTAAGCTACAACTTAAACTATAAACAAAGGCTTTGATTACTCTGACTTTCCCGTCCACTTTGGGATTAATAATGTAACGGCATCCTTTAAAATGACTAAAATGCATCGTTTTTGTTGAGTAGTCTTAAAGTTGATGTGTACAAATATTAATATATAAAAACAATGTTATGTTTTACAATGAAGGAAACACGTTGTCTTATTGTAAACATAAACAGAACTGAAAAATGGAATAGACTACTATCCCTGCATTTTGTTGACATGGTATCTTAGAGTGGTATCCTGGTTTAGCATGGTCAAAACATGGAAATTGAATGTTTTTTAATTCCCACATCAATTAAACCAACCTGTAAATCCTAGGTCACACTTCATACTGTAGGTCACACTGATGAGGATAAAACAGGGGGGTACAGCCATACAGTATGTTACACACATACAATATACAGTAACAGTATAAAAGGTTTACAGCAACAGAGGGAAAACTTCACAATACAGATGTATCAGCTGTGATTTCCAAGAAGCTTACAATTACAGTGTCTAGGTGCATTGTCTGAAAGGTGTAGAAATAACATTAACTACATATTATTTTATTTGTTGGACAGAGCAACATCATGCATTTTTTAAATGATGACAAAAGTCTTCAACACATCTTCTGAATATGCTTTCCTAGTTGTTGACATCCATCAAGACCATCCTCAGCTTTTATTAGAACACAGGTTACTACAGGGGCAGTAGCCAACCTTTCCGCCCATTGAAAGCCATTCACTGTCTGACAGTATACCAGCACCACAGTTTTGCCTGTAGGAGGAGCTGTGTGTCCCTCATTGATGAAGCTGCACGTGAACAGACACCAGGGACTTCTCAGAAGCCGTGGGTTCATGTAGAGCTTAGAAATCCCAGCACTTTCAGTATGGCTGCCACTTTGGGACTGCCAGTATAGGCGTTCCTTTTTCTAACATTACTTCTATTATAGTATCCTTGCAGAAGTCGAAGAATTGTTGAATCCGCTGATTCATTCAGTTTGGCTTAGTGATACAAACCGTGTGTCACACAGGGAGGATGAAGACTAGTCCAAGTGCCAGAGCCATCCTACAAGCTGGCAGGTCAGGTCCTAAGCTCCATAGAGCCTTGCAGGAAATCTGACTCCCAGCGGAGGAGGGATGCGTCTCTCACTGACCACACTGCAGGTTCACATCAGACTGCACTGCACAGGGCATCCAGCACTTACTGTTTTTTTTTCCATATTCGCTCTCAGTTATGTGTTGTGTATAATCCAAATATTTGTTGGAACTCTTTTAATTATTCACAGCTTTTAAACAGTAGAAGTTTCCTTTTAACTATTTGATTTTCTGACTTTTTAGTCATTGAAAACCTTAAACATATTCGAATTAGGGAACTGGGTTCAGGTAAAGGTTCAGTTAACTGAACTAGGGTCTTTCCTGACTAACACAAGCCCTTCCAGCCCCTGCTGACACTCAGGCAACAGTGCACTGGTGTTTGGGACATCCTAGTCACAGCTGACTAGTGACTTACTCTAGCTTCATCCCAATGGTGTTTGTATTACAGGGCTTGAACTACACTCTACACAGAAGCTTTTGCTTATTGAGCCAGTTAAAAGCATCATGACACATTAGACCTGAATACAATTAATTATCTCTGCAAAACAAAAGCAGGTGTCTCTTTGGTGAGAGTTTCAGTGATTAATGAGTACTTCATTATGAGTAGTATATAAATCAATTATAAGGCATGTGTGATGTTAATAAAGGAATCTGTCATTCTTCTGGCAAGGCTTCTGACATCCTTAAACCACTCCCACGCAGTCTTCTTAAGACGTTGCCTTTAGTGTTCTTTCAATCTAAATAGAAATGAATTTCATAATTACTTAACCAATATGTGATCATCCTGTACCTGTTTCTAGAAAGGAACAAAAGAATGTGTTTACATTCCTTTTCTGCCTAATCAATTGTGGTTCCTCAGCAATAAAGTTCTTGGGAAAAGACAAGGAAGAAAAAGGTTAATTATTTATCTGTTTTCCAAAGCAAAGGAAAGTGGCAGATGTAAGAAGAAAAGGGCTTTAATTTAGTGCATATATAATATTTAATATAATTAATTATGTAAATTATAATTGTAGAACAGCTTTATCAGTGCTGTGGAGCAGGTCTGTCCATGAAGCCTGATCTCCTCAGATCCTAGAAGCTTAACAAGGAAGGACTTGGATAGTGGTAGGATGGGAGACTAAGGAAAGCTAGGTTGCCACTGCAGGTGCTTTTGTTGGTGTTGCCTCCCTCTGGTCCAGTAATTTCTAACCAGCTCCCTGGTATGGTAGTAGAATAACACTGAAGGTCATCCTGAAGATCATCCTTCAGTTGAGACATTAAACTGAGGTCTTACCTATTTGTGGTCATTAAAGATTGAAAGGTCCTAACTGGAGTCGTAGGTCAAAGTCTTATGTCCTGGCTATAGTCTTCAGGCATTATCAACCCTGTCTACTGAAAATTCAGCCTTGATTCAACTGGTGAAATAAACTCCTCACCTCCTCAGCAATTTCCTTCTGATTTGCAGCTCACAAGGCAGCAGGAATACTGTACTTTGTATTGTTGCAAAAAGTGTGTAATAACATCATCCATGTATTATTTTCATTTCATTCTTTCATACCACTAACTGCTCGTGTTTAGCAACTCTTTGGCTAACTCCAGACTTGGATTATTCTATTGCCAGTGTAATTAGGATATAAGAAAACAGGGGCACCTCAAAAAGTAAAATTCTTGCCTGTCTATCATTTTATCCTCTTGTCAATGTTCCATTCCACAAATGGATGCCATGCTAAAACCATGTAATTAGCTCTCAACTTACCAAGTAAGTTCTAATGACTCCCAACTTACAGTACCAAATAAGTTCTAATGACAAAACAGGACAGCTGTCTGATCATTAGTTTGTCTCACTGAGTTGTAATGGGTTTTTTATACCCACAATAGGCTTGCTTGGTAAAACATCAATAACACACAGGCTGGTCCTGTAAAAAAGCTTTTTGGCCAGTTAATTCCAAGCATAATATGTATCATCCAAATGGCAATATTAAAGGGTTGACTGTTCCTGTTTGCCCTTTTGTTCTCTTGCTGATGCATGGCCTATACCACAAATTGTGCCTGTAGCAGCACAGAAACTGATCAAAGGACAGAGTAAACTACTATTGTTCAAAAGCTATCCAAATTATCATCCTGGGGGAAATTCAACAGCAGTATCATACAATGGTGTTTCTGTATAAATTACTATAGCCACACGACTGTCATTAGTCAGTTGTATTATTGTATTCTGAACATCAGACTGCTTGTAGTCCAACGTTGGACGCTTAACTTCAACAATCATCCTGGGCACCTGCTAAATAGCATATTGCAATATTATAGTACAAAATGATCATGAATATTTTTCACGAAAAATCATGATCATGAAAAGGCTCCAAACCTTCGAAAGAAAATACATGAATGCAAACTGTGAATAGGGGAGGTCTTCGGGTTAAAACCTTCCATATAATTTGTATTGCAAATGAAGAGCGTTTGTATTATCAAAAAGATTTCTGAATTAAAAAACTGAATATAAACTGGCATGATTCCATTCCATAGTTGATCCCATGGCATCACCCTCAAATCAGAGCAGCATGGATAAAATGTATATAGTGCCAAGTGTACATTTAAGCTGCATTGGGGCATTTTTCATCAATCATTACATAGATTTCCCTTTTTTTAAATGTATTTATCATTTTATTCCTACCCTGTATTTCTTTACAACAGCTCCCGCACAGCTTGAAGAGAATGAAGAAGGGCAGGCATACTCAGACAGCGCATACATTCAAGGTTTTGGCTTGCTGGAGGCTCCACAGTTCTTCCTGGGAGAACTGGCACTCATTGGAGGACCACATCTCCAGTTCATCCAGGAGAGCCTAGTGATGTGAACCAGGTTAAAGCCTGCAATGAGTTGCCATAGAGTTCAAACAGCACTTTACTGTCTGAGACACCTGAAAGCCTCTTGCTCAAAAATGTTTATTTATCCCACTGCTTAACAAAATCTTTTTGCAGCCACGCTTCTGCATCAGTAAAGAGTGTGCGATAACATCATTCATGTATTAGATTCATTTAATTTTTCCATCAAAGCCCTTGATTTTTCTGACTGAACTGACTGATTTTTCTGACTGAACCTGTTTGTGAGCCACAGGTAAATCTTAACAACAGGATTCCCATGGGTGACACATGGGAATCTACCATGATGAATCTACAGTGCTGAACTGATGTACTCTTAAATAAATCATCCCATTTTAAAAGGAACAGACCCATCACACAGAATTTGGCCTGTGTTGGCTCCGTGGTCCTCCTCCGTATGGGAGTCAGCATTAATCAGAAATGGATGTGCTTCGCCGATCAAGGCAACTGTGGATTTATTTCTCAGGAGAAGTAGACGTCCATGGTGAAGCTGCACGTAGGTGTCATATGTATTTTAACCGTCTTTCTTTACTGGAGAAGAAATGACACTTCATGATTGGAGTTCTTCTCATGACGAGTCTTTACAGCCTACACATGTTTTACAAATGTGATTTAAAAAGAGCTTCCAAAAATTGTGCTGTGCAATGTCAACAATCTAATTACCTCTTCCATGGATTTTCATTGTAAATATGAACTTCTTTAAACAAATTTTACGGCTGACAACAAGCCGCTTTGATCACTTCATAATTGTTGAAACCATGAAAGCAAATCAATCCAGTGTTCCTCCCCTCCCTTTAGACAACTTTAAAGAAGCTTAAAAGTCCACTCTATGGATTATGACTGCAAACATTTATCATTATAGTGTAGTGTATGTATTTTGGTTTTAATGAGTGTAATGACTCACTGTTCACAATTAAAGGATAAAATGGGTAGTACTCTTCAGAGAAAGAGTTATGCCACTCACATCGCATTGAGTATCAGGAAAGACAACATTTTTTCAATTGTTAAGTGAAGACCTTGAACTGATTTTGTTTGACACTGAAAGGACTGATTTTGCATTACTTAGAGTCACACTCAACACTAGAAATGAGAGCGTAGTTTTTTTATTGTGCTTCTTCTTTACCTTGTATTATCTTAAAATATTTGGTTGTCATTTAAACTGCTCCCTCACAGTTCCAGGGCACTGGGTTCAGTTCTGGCCCTAGAGATCTGTCTGTATGGAGTTTTCATGTTCTGCTCATATTTGTGTGCGTTTTCTCTGGGCAGTTTGGTTTCCTACCACATGCAGACTTGGTGTGTTTGGGTTTTCTAGACTGGTCCTGAGGGCTTACTATTGGTGCCCATTAACCAAGTTTAATAATTATCATTCATTTCAAATAGTAAGAGGTAGGTGCGGTAGCATAGAGAGTATAATCATAAGCAGTAGTGAAAAGGTCTTGCAGCTTTATTGACCAAAGTGGGGAGCGGTGGTTAAGGATCTGTTAGAGGAGGGTTGTGGTTTTGTGTCCTGCGTACAGCTCTGCTGTTTTTAGCCTTGCGTAAAAATACTTCACTCAGCCCAGGTGTGTAAATGCACAAAATGTTAGTTGCTTTGAATGACAGCATCAGCAAAATAAATATTGCCTAAAAAATAGCAGAACGGTTGTGATAAGTCAATGTAAAACAGCTGCCTTAAATTAGGCTTGGTTAAAAATCTGGAATTTTATTTTAAATACTGTATCACATCTTTCTTTGGCTTGGACCTACAGTAAATCCTAACATGTTTCTCCTTGTACATGTAAAGAATGTTTGGTCATAAGACAAATATTATACTTTTAAAAGTAAGACAAATGTGTCAAAAAAGAAAAAGAATAGACAGCCATCCTAAAGGTCTGAATATACAGTGTCTTGGAAATGATTTCAGATCCAGTTTGTAATATTACAGAAGGATGCTTAGACATTTTTTAGAATTTATATTATATTCTAAAACTGAATGCTCAAACTGGAGACTGAAGTTAAGTTACAGTTAATGTCAACAAAAACTAAAAAGAAAAAAAAAACAAATCATGTTGATTGCACAATTATTCAGACCTATAAACTCAGTATTTGTTGGAAGAACCTTTGGCAGGAACTATAGCCACAAGTCTTTCAGTTCTCTACGGACTCCACACACTGGCCTGGTGCAAATGTTGCCCACTCTTCTTAGCAAGTTTGCTCAAGTTCTCTCATGGGAGTACAACAGGTTTCAGATTCTTCAACAGATTCTCAGTAGGATTGAAGTTAGAACTTTGGCTTTTCTTCTTACGCCACTGCTGTGTAACTTTGGCCCTGTGCTATGGATCATTGTTCCGCTGAAAGGTCTTTAATAGACGGAACCATTTTGTCCTTTAGTGTTTGCCTTTTCTCTGTTTAATGTTGCTTCTATCTTAACAAACTTTCCAGTTATCGCTGAGGGGTCGTATAGTATGATGCTGCCACCATCATGCTTGACTGTAGGGATATTGTTTACATGGAGACATGCTCTATTGAGTCTGTGCCAAATGTAAATTTTGGCATTTAGACCAAAGAGTTCCCATTTCTTCTCTGACTATACCTTTTGTCACATCTTTCAGGATCCCTTAGGTGCTCTGTTGCACATTCCCCGTGGGATATAAGAAGGATTTTCCACTCTGCCATACAGGCAGGATTTGTGAAGTGACTGGGATATTGTTGACTTTTTCCACATCACAGAATTCTGCAGCATTTTGGCAGATATCATTGGCCTCACAGATGTGTCACTCGCCAGTTTCCTCCTTACCTGACTGCTGAGTTTGGAGGGACAGCCTAATCTAGGAAGTATCTACATGTTATGATGCACCATGAACAGTCTTCATGGATACGTTTTTGCTTGAAATTCATTGCATGACCATACGACCTCGCAGAGGCAGAAGTTTTTATTCTGAAATCATAAGAAAACTGTTATTGCGCACAGACAGAGGATATGAAACTAATCGTCTCAATCATTATGGTAATTTTGTGCACCTAAATTAAGGTTTGCCACACAAACGGTTTGTATACTATTGTATTCATGGATTTTAAATTTTCTGTCATATAATTTACTTCCTTCTTTTTATTTTTGCTTTGAACACATGGAGTGGGTTTTGCAAATAGCAAATATTAACTGCTGCTTTTATGTGCCATGCCTACAGCTTTTAAAAACAATAAAATGTGAAAGCTTTCACATTTTGCTACTTTAAAAACAAGACACGCAATGGTCTGAACCTACAAAGGTGTGAATACTTATGCAAGACGCTGTAAAAACAATCAGGGAGGAAACGGTCACAGTTAAGGCCTTTTTGTGTAGACGTCCGAGGCGGCGGCCTTGCTCTGCTTGGATACAGTCTAATGCGTCAGCAATTCATCCTTTCTGTAAGAGTTCGTGAAATATTTGCGATCTTGAGTGTAGATAAAAAAAGGCTTTATAAAAAGAGTTTAGGTTATGTACTTTACACGTCTAGGCCACTATGGATTTTGATGCAAGTTCTATATTTATCCAGTGGGTCTGTCTGTAATTTTACTTTGCCCTTTTAATGCGAGCCAGCTTTGGTGTTATTTAAATACCTCTAACCACAAATATGTCTGATTTGAAGGAAGCCACTTTTAAGAGCAGGTCCTTTCTTTGGCTCACTTGGGATTAGTATTGTTCTGAGGAGCGTAGCTGGTAACCAGCACTGCATGTACCAGATGTCAGTCTTAGGCAATTGATTAAGTGAAAGCAGTTGAAGTCAGTATAGCATTAACTCTGGTCCCCCACGTGGCTTCCTCCCGTGAAGCTACATATTCATTTTAAATGAGCCCATCAAAGTTGCTCATGTGTGCAGAAGTGGCAGATTCAGTCAAACAAATTGGGATTAACCTGTAAATCAGTCCAAGTTGAGAAATTTAATTTGTCTGTACCTGCTTTGTTGAAAACAATTGCAAAAGACATTCAGACTCCATGCAGATGTTAAAAGTAATGCTAAAAAAGGTTGAAAGCAAACTAATCAATACATAAGATTTTGAACTCGTTTTAACTGACAATAGCAGAATCCTTAATCACATGGTTAAAAACATGATGCAGCAGACTGATCAGGTCCACTCTGATCGATTAGCTTATAGTAATCACATGTGCAAGATCAACTAAGTGACTATACATTTGGTATTTATCTTTTTTCTCCTGTTCTTTCTTAATTCAAACAGTTCAGAGCTGGATTATTATTTATTATGGACAAATCTACATTTTTAATGTTATAAACTCAATGTGTGAATAAGCATTTTATCCTGAACAGGTGTTATATAATGGCAGTCCTAAACATTAGGACTATTGGTCTGAAACAAGCTTAATTCTCCAATTAATGTAATAAATATAGTATGTTAATTATTTGTCAAAGACATGTTTTCTACTTTTAATGAGCTTATCAATGCTTCTATCAATATCTCTGTAAATGTCTAAGGAATAGTAGTCATCACTACTAGTCCTTATATCTTATTTTACTTTTGTAAATTAATTAGAACTTTGATAAATGTAAAGGGTGTATCGCTGACCCAAAGCACAGAACAAAAAATATTTACTGCAGTTATTAAATCAGTTAATAATTTGGTATAGAAAGAGGATGTCAATGAACTGTACCAATGTTCAATTCAACTCTTTCCTGCCGTCATAAGATTCTTCTATTTATGATTGTTCTGATGTCTCAGGAAAAAAAAGAATCAGAAGAATAACTTATTTGGTCATCTATTATTATTTAACTTTTTTAAATTATATTTTAATATAAATATTAAATTTATGAGCTGTTGTTTCAGATTTAATTATTTTTCTATTCAAGCATCTGACTGGCATTAGAAAATAGTAGAAAAAGGGTGGGGTAACTCTTTTGAAACTACAGAGCCTTGACAGACGAGGAGTTAAATTTTATCCAGAGGCAATGTGTCTTTTTCTAATTAACAATACTTATTATCTAGAAACTTAATTGGATTCTACTAATACATAATGTATAATATACTTCTGTTCAATCTCTAATCCTTAGAAGCATGTCAGACACAAACTGAGGGGTCATAAGTTGACCAAAACAAACATAAAATGAGGTTTCCTTAGACAATTGTAT